GATATTGAATAACCTACACATTCACAGGCCCCGCGAGAAAATCTTCCCCAACGGCGACATCTACTTTGGCACCTTCAAGGGAACAATCCCTCACGGCAACGGGAACTACAAATGGGCCGACGGAACCATCTTCAACGGCGACTGGGAGCTCGGCAAAATGACGGGAAAGGGAAAAATCTCATGGCCCACTTCCAAATCCACTTACGAAGGCGATTTCTCCGCGGGCTTTCTCCACGGGTTCGGGACCTTCACCGGGCCCGACGGCTCTGTTTACCGAGGCGCGTGGAAGATGAGCTCCCAACACGGAATCGGGCGAAAGCAGTACCCGAATTCCGACATTTACGACGGCTGCTGGCGAGAAGGGGCCCGCGAAGGCAGCGGCCGCTATGGGTGGGGCCCAAATGGGATGTACATTGGGAATTGGAAAAACGGGCTTATGTCAGGCCGAGGGGTGATGAAGTGGCCCAATGGCGACCTTTTTGACGGGTTTTGGGCCAATGGGTATAGGCATGGTCCGGGATTCTATAGGTTCGCGGATGGGAGTTACTATTTCGGGACGTGGTCGCGTGGGGTGAAGGATGGGACGGGGACGTTTTACCCGGCGGGAAATAAGCATTTGAGCAAGTTGAGGCCTGAGGAGCTTATCGAGAGGCGGAGAAAGGAGATTTCGAATGTGGAGCGTAGTTTGTCTGAAAAGCTTGGAAGGTTGACCTTGTCGTCTCTGGAAGATGATGATGATGGTGGTGATTCCGGAATGTTGTTGTCGCGTGAGAGGTCTTGTGTGGTGTTGGGTCAGGGGGAGGTTCCGGAAAGTAGGTCTGTGGCGTACGAGAGAGAGTATATGCAAGGAGTGCTTATTAAGGAGAGGGTTAGGAATATATCCAAGTTGTCGCATAGGAGTAAGGAAAGGTTGAAGTTTGCCAAGGAAGTTGATAGGAGTTCGTGTGTGGATATTTTTAAGGGCCACAAGAGCTATTATTTGATGCTTAGCTTGCAACTCGGTATCAGGTATGCAAAACAAGGTTCTTTGGGTATAGGGTGTGATTGGATATGGATTTGATTGGTTTTTTTTGTTAGCCATAGTTAATTTTAAAAAAATTTGGTACGGTTGGTTGTTAGTGGGAATTTAAGTTTGAATTAAAATAATATTTAGAAAAAAAATTATTAAAGTTGATTTGATGTAAAAGTAGGGGAAACATGATTGGAAGTGATGGTTTAGTTAAGATTATGTGAGTGGATGAATAGAGAATTAAAGTTGATGTGATGTGTAAGAATGATTGACTGATATTATTTAATTATGTTGAGGATAGTGAGGTTGAGTTAAAGTTGAGTTAAATTTAAGTTTTGCTTGGTTTTTTACTGGTTCAATTTATATCCAATCACACTCTTATGTATCACTCACACACGAAGGTGCACACACACACATAGCTGACCTTCAAAGTTAAATGTTGTGTCTGTGTTACCTTATTCAAATATCTTATTATGAAGTTGACAGGTATACTGTAGGGAAGATTACACCAGTTCCTATGAGGGAAGTCAGATCATCTGATTTTGGTGAACAAGCAAGGATAAAGATGTACTTCCCTAGAAAGGGTTCTCAGTTGACTCCTTCACACAAATCGATTGACTTTTATTGGAAGGATTACTGCCCCATGGTTTTCAGGTATCTATTATTTCGTTTAATCATTTAATGTCCAGGAACAAGGAGCATTATGCCAAGACTTTGACATTACTTATTTACTGATTCGTTTTTTTTTTTTTTTTTCCTTTTNTTTGATTTATTGTCCTTTGGAGATCATTAAGAGCCATTTCTGGGGTTTTTTTTGTTGTGGCAATGGTTACAGATCAAGTATTTGAAAAATTAAATCACTGATTTAACTGCCTGCTCAATAGTGTATGAAATCGAATATAAGATTGTGAAGTTAAGAGAGTGAGTAATGTGGCACTGGTGGGGTAACCTCTTCTATAAGATGTTTGCTTATTTCTGATTGGATTCTATAAGCTCATTGCAGTTTTAACAAGATTGACGTTTAGTTTGCACAGAAAATGATACTAACAATCTGACATTTTGACCAAAAAAAAGTAAGTGCCAAGATCCCATACTGTTGTAACAATGTAAAAGTCGAATACAAATTTAACATTACCCTAAGTCTATGAATTTTTTTAATATGCTTATACATTCAAGATATTTTGAAAGGGGTTTAGCTGTCTCATGGACTACACACGACATAATGTGAACCAGAAAGTTTAGCAAGGGACTTGAGTTGACGACTCCTTTTAACTACGATAAGCTTACGTAATAAAGTGTATTATAGCTTGACTTAATGGTTGATGTGCCTATAGTTAAGATGTTTTCGTGCTGAACCTGGTAAGAGTATAAGAAATGAGTTTGAGTTCTTTTATGTTTTTCTGCTTAACCCAACAATTTTTTCTACTTCATATGTTACAAAAGATTATTCAAGGCTCATTAATTGAACTGTCTTTATTAAAAACTGCTTAAACGTCTTTATGCATGTCTTACATATCCAAGTTGAATGCACGTTTCATTGACTTTATCATAACTCCTTTAGACACTGTTTTCAGGAACCTTAGAGAGTTGTTCAGGTTAAATGCTGCCGACTATATGATGTCTATTTGTGGTGATGATGGTCTTAGAGAGCTCTCTTCCCCTGGAAAAAGTGGAAGCATTTTCTATCTCTCTCATGATGATAAATTCGTAATTAAAACTCTGAAAAAACCTGAGCTGAAGGTATAGAGAATGTAACTATTTCAACTAATTTTCTGTTTTCTCTAATTTCTCATGAATATGGTGAATTTATTACGGTATCGTCATTCTAGCTGAAGTGATATATTTCTCATGGTGTCAAAACTAAAATTCAGTTAACATGCAGTCCACTAAACATAATTCTGTTGATCACTGAACTTCTGTATGCAAATTAAGTGACTGGCCTTTTTTTCAATCTTGCATAGGTGTTACTGAAGATGCTGCCTCACTATTACGAGCACGTGCAAGCGCATGAGAATACCCTCATAACCAAGTTCTTCGGGGCACACAGGATTACTCTTAAACATGGAAAAAAGGTTTTTTGATCCGTAAATGCAACATATTTTCTTGCATGAGTGTTTTCCTTTGAATGGCCCTTTGTTTTAGTGTAGTTCTGACTTCCAAGTAAAAAGTGAATACTTCTCATTAGGCTTTTTGATTGTATTCAGGTTCGCTTTGTGGTCATGGGGAATATGTTCTGTACTGAATTACACATACATCGCCGTTATGATTTAAAGGGCTCGTCTCATGGGAGGTTTACGAAGAAAGAAAAGATCGATGAGAGCACTACACTGAAAGATCTCGATTTGAATTATGAGTTTCATATGGACAAATTGTTGCATGAATCGCTTTTTAGGTAACTTCCCTCTTAGTTTCTTTAACACGTATTATCAGACTTTCTCGTATAACAAAAGTTGTGTTCACCTATTTTTATGCAGACAATTATCCCTGGATGCAGCATTCTTGGAATCTCAACAGATCATAGATTACAGCCTTCTTTTGGGTTTACATTTTAGAGCACCCGAGCATCTAAGATTATTTTCAGATCCAGATTCATTACAAGCGGCTGAGAATAGTAATGGAGTTGATGGTTGGTGTCCTTTTTTTCCAAGAGTAATAACTTGTTTATTTTTTGTTTGCTTAGATTTTCCTTAAGAAAGTGGTGTTTTGTTGATTTTTGAAGGTGTTATAACCCAAGGAGAGGTTTTGATACCTCCAAAGGGTTTAGTGTTAGTGAGTCATGAGCCGGGATGTGTGAGCAGTAGTCCGGGCCCACACATACGAGGAAGCACTTTGAAAGCTTACTCAATCGGCAATAAACAAGCTGACCTCCTCTTGCCCGGCACTGGAAGGTGCTCGATTTTACATTTTTAAACGGCTTCAATATTATTTACGCTATGTTTGGTAAAACTAGCTGGAGTAATAGCAATTTTAGTTCTGTATGTTTCACTACCTTACCTTTTTCGCTCTATTCGAATTGCGTTTTTTATTTTTGTCCCGTCTGTTTGCAAAAAGGTTACAAAAATGTTATTTTCACAAATAAAAGGTCCTAAAAAAAAAGGTTCTAATTTCATCCCTATGTATTAAAAGGACCTTTTTCTAACTTTTTTGCAAACATACGGGACGAAAATAAAAAACGCAATTCGAAGAGGACGAAAAATTAAAGGTAGTGAAACATACAAGACCAAAATTGTAATTTACTATAAGCTAGATATATAGCTTACCACTAATTTTCGAGCTTATATCTGAAAAGCTAGCTTATATGATAAAAGTATTTTTGTAAAATTAGCTGATAAGCTAGCTGGAATAAAAATTTCAACGAGCTTATCTGAAAAACTCGAGCTGATAAGCTCGAGTTTTTTTTAACCTATAAGTTAACTTATAAACATAGTCTTATTATTACTAGCTTTGTTTTATTTTATTTTTGGTTGGTTTTTCAGATTAAGGGTGCAATTAGGGGTAAACATGCCAGCACAAGCGAACCACAAGATCACTCAAGCTGAGACTGACTCAGTGGAAGTTGAGCTTTTCGAGGTTTATGATGTTGTGCTATATCTGGGCATAATTGACATACTGCAAGAATACAACATGAAAAAGAAATTGGAGCACGCTTGTAAATCCATCAAGTATGATCCCCTCTCCATTTCTGTTGTGGAACCCAGCTTCTATTCCAAACGCTTTATTACCTTCTTGGACAAAATTTTTCCCGCTCAACCTTAGTTGTTAAATTCAAATGTCTTGTAAGAACTAATTTTCGTAATTGCTCCAGAAGTGGCCCACAAGTGTTCTGCTGCATTTCATCCCTTGTATTCTATGATTTTTTGTTAAATCGATTTTTTTTTATTTTTTTTTTATATTTTGGATAATCAAATTTTTTAAGCTAACCATTATTTAATTTTAGTACTCAACTTTGATTCATTTAATTAAAAAGACTTTCTTCATACATTTCCCGAGTTCCCAAATGAAGGCTACTTTTCGGTTGCTGCTGAAATATTTTATATTTGTAATAGTATATTTTTCTATCGAATGCAGAGATCATAAATGACTTACCCTGTTCTTAGCATTAATATCTGTATGTCAATGTATTGAAATATAAATCTACCACCAGCAATTCAAGTCGTCTACTACTAATAATAATAATAATAATAATAATTTTTTTCATTTTGGCGGCAATTCTGGAAGAAACAAAGATTAAAAGTTTTGGGTTATTTTTCTCAGACATCATGACACATAGTTTCACAATAATTAAGTGTTGTTTTGGTTGGTTATTTTTTCTTATAAGAATATAAATTGAAAAAATGTTCCATTTCATTCCTCTATCTAAACTATTATAAAAATCTATATCAATACTATTATTTATTTACTTATTATTATTATTTTATTATTTTATTATAAATGAACGAGTGATTTTATAAAAAAAAAAATTAACTACCTAAAATACCTTTCCTTTTACATATTAAATAACAAATTGATAATACATTAATATACATGCTATATTATATTTTTAATTATTAACTAAGATTTAATGAATTGACATGGAAAGAAAATATTATCAATATAATTAAATAATATCAATCAATCATTCTTACACATCACATTAATTTTACTTCATTCATCCACTCACATAATTTTAACTAACCATCAATTCTCATCATCTCTCTCTAACATGTACATAATCAATTTTAATTATTTTATTTTAATATAAATTCAAAATTCCACCAATACCAGATCATACCACATTTATTTAAAATTAATTCTCGCTAATTAAAAAAAAAATTATTTTGAGCAGATATATTTGTATGCAAGCACGACTTTAAGTTTTTATTTTTATTTTTTCTTGATGAGAGACGAACCATATACGCTCTAAATTATAATGTTATCTCCCTTATATATTAATGCAAAACGTGCTGAGCATATGTGGCTTGGAAACAAAAAATTGTCTCTCAAGTTTTGCAATTCTACATGTCATATATCAAGTTTTGTATTTAGGTTCAGATCAAAAAATTGGAAACAAAAATGGCTTGAAAAATGACATAAATAATTTTTACACTATACATTATTGTCTCTCATCAACCTCTCTTTCATTACCAACTTTGTCTTGAATTTAAAGATCGTACAAATTTTTATTTAATTATTTCATTTTACTAGTAATTTATTCCATTCATCATATTTTTTTTTCATGTTGATAAATTTTAGTCCATTTTTGAGTCCTTGTCTTTGTTCGCGTAATGAATAATGATGAACTTAAATTATATATTATAATTATATTGATAATATAAATAATGAAACATTAACTAAACACGTCTCTAATCTTAACTCCCATCAATTTTAGCCCTTATCTTAATTATCATCCCTTATCTTATTTTTTCAAGTTGATAAATTTTATCCCATTTCATATTTTTTAATTTTTCCATGTTGATAAATTTTAAGTAGAACTAATAACGTTGTGTTCATAATTTATTTTTGTTACAATTAAGTTTTCGTTATTTTATTTTTCCATGTGTTCATAATTTGGTGTTATCAAGGGCCGGGCAAATAAAATCAACTCTATGAGTATAATAATAATAATTTGAAGACATTAGAATTAGGGGCAAATAAAATAAAAGCCCTTTTTGGCATTTGTTTCTGTCAAGTGACTGACAAGACACTGCACGCACAACGAGTTTTGCAATCACTCACTTATTATTGATGTCCACATTAACTGCCTCTCACCAAACAAACCAAACCTGCATGATTTATTATTTAATTGTTTTTTTCTTTTATTTCTTTTTCCCTCTTAACTATCTCCTTCAAACATTACATTATACCGGACAAAGTGACAGACAACATATATTTCGGCTTTTATGTACATGTGAAATAGTTAGTGTCCAACACTATTATTAATTATGATCAGAAAATTGGAATCTTACGTAGTAATTGTTTTTTTCTTCATTGGAGATTTTTATCTGTCCTCATTGTCCAGAGAATTTATGAATATAAATCAAATTTGATATTCTATTATATGAATAAGTTATTTATTTTGTAATAAAGTATGATTGCCCAAGGCAAAAGTAATAAAATACATAATACAAAAATGTTTCGAACGAGAGAGATATTTGAATTAACGAAGCTTTTTATTTAATAAAAAATTGAGAAATAACAACTATACTGAGAATCTATTATCTTTCTTAAGAGAAAAATAAAATACTATTAATTACCCCCTTTAGTCTTTGTTTGGTGGGGTTGGGTTGGCCATTGAATAGATGCTCCCAAACATGTCACGGGTTCAGTGTAAATTTAATGCTATGTCATATCCTCACCAAAGTGGCATTAATTAATATTTACAGATAATTCTCAGATGGCCAAAATAAAAAAAATAAATAAAACGATTTTAATGCACACACATTTAATGCCCTTCACTCCACTGTTAGCAATGGTTACACTTTATGTACCTTTTGCAATTTGGCTCTACTCTTCTACGCACGCATCCCACACCCAACACAAATCGTAGATGCAACTATTATACATATCCAATAATAGAGGCTTTTATCTTATAAATATTTCGTATTTTATCAATTATTAATGCGTAACTTGTGCGATGTACAAATGGGCTTTTTACTTAAGACCTTTTCTAAAACATTATATTAAAAATAATTATTTATTTTTAACATCTCATTATTGTAAGAAAATAAATACAAAATATGAAAAATTACATATTATTTATTTAAATATTATGAGTGTCACCAACCAAACCAAGAACATTCAACACATGATATATGATAAAACTAATTATATGATCGTCATACTTTTTGAAAGTATATATATATACTTTCAAAAATGAATATGAGATATATACATGAGATATTTAAAATAAACATGAGATTCTTTATATATACATGAATATAAACATGAGATATTTAAAATTTAAATAAACATGAGATATATACATGAATATATATACTTTATATATATATATATATATATATTTAATAAACATGAGATGTTTAAAATTTGCATTAAAATTTGTAATTTGGATACGAGATGAAAAATGAATATGTAAAAAAAAAACGCACCAATAATATGAGATTCTTTTTAAACTTTAAAATATTTTGTAGTTAAATAAATATGGACAAAAAAATCATCAATTAATTTGAACTATCCAAATATAAAAAATAATTTCTGAAATTAACATTTATATTAAATAAATATAAATTTTTATTTGTGACCATAAAATATGAGATTTTTGTAGATATATAGATAAATATAGATAAAATAATATTTAACAATTAAGTTGACATGACTTTTTGAAAGTTTTCAAAATATTTCAAACGTTTTATTCGTTAAATGGTTGACCGGATTTTTGTCTCCAAATTTACATGTTTGACAAAAAAAAAATGATCGATCTAACTTTTTAGAAGTAAGATTTTCAATATTCTTTCTCATTATTGATCTGATTTATCCGTTGTATTTAAAGAAATATTGACCATATATTTATAAATTAAGGTTTATACAATATCTTTCTCAAAATAATTTTTTTTTTTAATTTGAATTCGAATTTTCATCCAGTTGCTATTTTCTAAAATAAAAAAAAAAAACTAAAAATAGCAATTTTGAAAATTTTAAGCGTGAAAATCAAATAGAATTAATTTAATAGTAATCGATTAATTTAATACTATTCAAAAAAAATAATGTGACATTAAACACAAAAGAATTTTTGTTAATATAAAATTTTTTAAATTCGCAGTGATCTATGATGACATTATTAAAGTTTCAAAATTGATTGACAAATTCATAGTGATCAATGATGGATTTATTAATGAAAAAATGTGTGGTTTGTTAAGTAAGTTGTAAGATAAATAAGAAGATTGAATTCTTAACAGATTCTCAAGTTCTCTGAACTTTTTATATTATATAAACTGATTGAATTATATTTTTCAAAATAAGTTGTTGAGATAAATTAAGATGGTATGATAAATATGGACAATATATTTTGATAGATAGTGTAAACTGTTTTTTTTTTTTTTTCTCAAAGAATTTTTGTTTTATTTATTGTACATGTAATAAGAATTTCTTTAATCTGAAAATCATAATTTAAAAAAAAAAAAAAAGAATTATGATTAAGAATTTTAGTATTTTGAAATGGTTTAAGTAAGTTGTTAGATAAAAAGAAGATTAGATTTTTAACAATAGATAGAATTCTTAAAAGGTAATTTTTTTATTGTCTTTAATTTGAAAATCATCATTTCAAAAAAAATATTGATGATTAAGAATTCTAATATTTTGTTGAATCAATTATTATATATGCTTTTCAATATAGTATTCTTTGACCGGATATATACGAAATATGTAAAATATATTTCATTTTCTATTTTTTAAAATACACAGATCATGAAACATATATAACAAATTTATAGTTTTGAACGGATATATAGATTTAGGACTTTGACCTGATATATAGTGATTTGGTAGAATTAATTTAGAATTTAAAAAATGTGATGAGCGGGAGAATCCAAAAAATTTCAAAAAATTATTTCCATTATTAGTAAAAAAATAAAAATTTAAGCAAGAAATTGTGAAGCTATTTTTGTATTTTCTTCTTATTGCTATTATATAGTAATAAATTTTTATCGAGCATAATTATTTCGCACTTTATCAATTATTTTTGATTGATGGTTGCATATAATTTGTTTCGCCCTTATTTTTTATTAAAGAATTATTATCATTTAGCATTGCGAAAAACTTAGTCCGTCTTCAAACCATGGTGAAAATAGTTTCACCTTAATTTTTTCCATTAAGTTACAAAAGGTAAAAATGAAGGCATTGATATCTGAAAACTTGTCATGTGATTCAACCCCAAAAGTACATTGTACAAGATA